GGAAAGCTAATCGAAAAACCTAACTGATCTTTTGCATAGAATCGCTGTTTGGTATATGTAATAGTCGTTATGTATTTTAACAATTATTGTCACGTAACTATGTATAGTTGATTTTCCTTTCTCCAATTTTGATTGGGTTCACTTTCTGTGTTTGTATTCAAAAATGTCAGCTAAACTGAATATGTTACTTATAAGTAACATAAATTCTGAAACTAAAATAACTTCCTTATGGAGGATAACAGCATAAACCCTTCTTTATTTTTTTGAACGACTCATCACATATTAAATGCAAATAATCTTAGAAAAAGAATTTATTATCAATCTAACACCTCCGAATTCAGGTCTATTAACTAAGCTTCCCATGAACTTGAATGGTCTATTCACTCAGTCACACAGTGAAATTATATTATCTATGATCAGTAACTACTGGTCGGACAGACATTTGTTCAAAGTATATCTCAAACAAAATCACATTGAAAAGCTTCGATGAATGAGCTAAGAATACTGGAATATTCTTGTGAAAATTTATGTATACACTGATATTTCTGCTGTTTTGCTTAGAATGTATTTACGTCCTATTCAAGTGTTGTTTTGATTTTGAAACTAATTGAGTGAGTGAATTATCCGAAAATACTAGGCAGTAGAGGAATATTAAGCCGAATAAGGGGACTTAACAGTAACAAAAGAGTTGAAATAATTTACAGTGATTGAACCCTCATTGTTGGTCATTGTCATTGTTTGTTCAATCCTCTAGTGCTCATCAGATTCTTTCAATCAAGTTGTAATATAGGCATCAGTCTAGGTGGATTAATATCGTCTAAAGAATAGTAATAAAACCCATGGAAGTAAAAAAAGACTGGATATGGGAAATACTCAGGAAAGAAGAAATGATATGAGGGGATAATTGTTATGAAATAATATTGAAAATTAAGATTTTGAGGAAGGTTTAGAATTAATGTACTGAGACCGAATTTGAGCTATTTTTTAAGGTCTTTCATCATTGATCGTAATTATCAAGCGAAATAGTAACTATTATGCAAAGTAATTTAACTCATCGTTGCAATTATGGAAACTAGTCGCTTTTGGAATATTTTATTAGTAGCCTAACACTTCTTTCTTACTTTTGAGTGTCAAAATTTCATCATCAACTGACTATCAATATTATTGGCAGATGTTTGTCCTTGCTTCGTTGGGTTGACGACAACTCTATAACATTTGTCCTATTCTACAAACAGTTAATCATTCTATATTTTCTTTCTGAGTGTACAAATAAAGAACAATTAAGTCCTTGTTTGTGCTGGACGATCTAGACTTCGCAGATGATCTGGCTATTCTATCGCACACGTAACAACAAATGCAGAAGAGCACCAGTGTAGCAGCAGACTCGGCAGCAGTAGGTCTCAACATGCACAAAAGGAATAGCAAGATTCTCCTATACAACACAACATGCATCAATCAAACCACACTTGACGGAGAAGATTTGGAAGGTGTAAAAACCTTTGCATATCTGGGCAGCACGGTGAACCTGATACAGATGTGAAGGCGCGGACTGGCAAAGCAAGAGCAGGATATTTACAGTTGAAGAACATCTGGAACTGAAAACAACTGTCTGTTAACCAACACCAAAATCAGAATTTTCAATACAAATGTCAAAACAGTTCTACTGTATGGGGTGGAAACCTGGAGAACTACGAAAGCCATCATTCAGAAGATACAAGTGTTCATCAACAGTTGTCTATGCAAACTACTTCGAAACGGTTGACAGACACTATCAGTAACAACCTACTGTGAGAGAGAACAAATCAGAATCCAGCGGAGGAAGAAATCAGGAAGAATCGCTGGAAGTGGATAGGACACACATTGAGGAAAGCACCCAACTGTATCACAAAGCAAGCCCTCACATAGAATCCTCAAGGCCAAAAGAGAAAAGACGAAAGAATACATTACACCGAGAAATGGAAATAGACATGAGTGGAATGAACAAAAATTAAATAGAACTGGAAAGGAAGACCCAAGACAGAATGGGTTGGAGAATGCAGGTCGGCGGCTTATGCTCCATTGGGAGTTATTTGTTATTTATTTATTTTAACACATAGATATCGGTACAAGGAGGCACCAAATACATATGCGCCACACAAATCTCATTTGATATGCGTGAGGGATGTAATAATGCCCCGATGCCCAAACCGAAGCAGGTGATCTTCTTAGGAGGCCACTCCACGAGCCTTCGACCTGAAGGTCTGATCCACAAGGCAGTGGAGCGTCGTAAGGAGATGCAGTCCCATGGAAGCCGATGAACAACAATTTGTTCATACGCTATTTGTTTCCGCAGGATACTAGACCCCCTAATTCGTCCCAACGTTGGACCCAAATAGATCACATCGCTATCAGCCACCGATGGAGGGGCTCGATAGAAGACTGTCGCTCATTCTGGAGCACATGCTTAGATTCAGATCATGCTCTAGTGCGAGCGCGTATTTGCTTGCGTCTTACTGGACGTAGGAAAGACGCTGCAAGGAAACCTCTTAGGGGCCTACTTAATGATAGTCAAGCTAAAAGTATATTTCAGGAACAACTAGGAAAACAGTGAGGCAGCCATGTATGTGATGCCCACCCCGATGCAGCATGGAATGATATCCGAAAAGCTGCGGAAACAGCAGTGTTATCTGCTAGTAAGGTAACCCGTAAGGTTAGGGAGCAACACTGGATCTCAGCAGCATCTATCGCACTGATGGATGCTCGGACTCATTCCACCTGGCTCTGAACATAGTGAAGAGCGGAGTCAGCTTAAGCCCAAGCTGACAAAAAGTCTACGCAATGATCGCGAACAGTGGTGGGTAGCGAAAGCAAGAGAGATGGAAAAGGCAGTGGCAATAGGTAATAGCAGACAATTGTTCAGACTCGTTAAGGAAACCGGAATTAGGAACCCGACCGTTAGCGAAACAATCTCAGAGAAAGATGGACATATTATACATTCTCAATCCAGGAGATTGGATCGATGGGTAGAACACTTTAGGGATCAGTTCAACTGGCCTTCAGCCACACTTCGGTTTCCCACGATCTCCAGTCAACCTGAATGGCAAGTTAATGTAGGTCCTCCGTCCCTTTACGAAGTTGAAAAAGCCATAGGAAATCTGAAGCGATGGAGAGCAGCAGGCCCTGACAGGTTTACTCCTGAGATTTTTAAGGATGGTGCTCCAGTATTAGCAGTGAGATTAACTGAGGTCTTAGGTAGGATTTGGGAACTGGAAGTAATCCCATCTGACTGGTCTCAATCACTGATTGTGCCAGTTTTTGAGAAAGGACAAAAGTCCTCTTGTGACAATCACAGAGGAATCAGTTTGACTAATATAGTGTCTAGAATATTAGCCTCAATAATACTTCGACGCCTAACTAAAGCTCGTGAAGAGCAGACTAGAGAAAACCAGGCTGGTTTTCGACCTGGACATGGTTGTATAGACCAGATATTCACACTAAGTCAGCTCCTAGAACATAGACACACAATTGTAGTATTTCTCGACCTTAAGGTGGTATTTGACTCTGATGATCGTGAGGTACTGTGGCAGTGTTTGTCACTGAAAGGAGTACCAAAGTACATTAACCTTGTAAAGGCTCTCTACTCAAACACAACTGGTCGAGTAAGAGCGTATGGCGAACTGTCATCAAAATTGATTACTTCAAGTGGTGTTGGTCAGTGCTGTCTACTCTTTCTATTCTTGTTTAACGTGCTTTTAGAGATGACACTTTCCTCATCTGAATTTCCAGGGGTTGAACTTCTACCGGGTGATTCACTTGTTGACTTAGAATATGCTGATGGCATAGTTCTATTTGGTGAAGACGCTGACAAAATGCAGAGTCTTCTGACCACTTTAAGCAACAATGCAAGCATGTTCGGGATGCGATTCTCTCCCTCGAAATGCAAAATGTTGCTTCAGGTTTGGGTTGCATCGACATACGACCTAGTGATAGGGAGTGAAGTAGTTGAGTGTGTCGATCGCTTCACTTATCTTGGAAGTCTCATCAGCCTTTGTGGTCTGGTGTGTGACGAAATCTCAGCATGGATACAGAAGGCTCGACTAGCTTTCGCCAACTTGCGTCATTTATGGCGTAGGCGAGATATCCGTCTATCAACCAAAGGACGTGTTTACTGCGCAGCAGTTCGTTCCGTCCTACTTTATGGCAGTGAAACATTGCTGGTAAGAGTAGAGGATATTCGTAGGTCACTAGTATTCGATCATAGGTGTCTTCGAAACATTGCTCGCATATCATGGGACCATCGAGTAAGTAACACGGTTGTTAGGAAACGGGTACTAGGTAAGGATGGCAAATCAATTGATGAAGTAGTGAAGCTTCATCAGTTGAGATGGCTGGGACACGTGTTACGTATGCCCAACGACCGACTGCCTCGACGAGCGATGTTCAGTGGTATAGGAATAGGTTGGAAGAAAGCTAGGGGTGGCCAGACCAAAACATGGCACAAATCCATGAAGTCACTGACAAGTGGACTGAGCCATGTTGGTAGGTGTAGACTACCTGATTGGGGACTGCGAGGTGATAGCAACCGATGGTTAGAGACACTGAATGACACGGCTCAAAATCGTTTGCAATGGCGCAGGTGTATCCATTCTTTATATTCCACCAAATTCTAATCTTCTGAATTCTTCATGTCCCTTTCTTTTTTCTCTTTCCAAATTTATTTCACTGGATTATACTCTTTGAATAACATCTTCAAACCCTAATCTATCCGATTACTGCTTATACTCTTACCGCCTCTATCAATACGGGATTTGAATCGACAACTGCATCTGTGTACTAATGTGATATGGCAACTTGAACTGATGTACGTACGTACGAAGTTCTACGTTGTTACTGACTGACTGACTGATTGGCAGGATACTGGAGCCCATGTGCACCATTGGTTTGGAATCCGGTTCAAGCGCCGGACATTCGCTTTTCGTCCTCTCATTCTCATAAACAATAATAATGCCACGAGAAGTCAGTGAGTAGGACTTCCCTGACAGAGGCGATATACGCATGGTCATGTGAGAGTATTTCGAGAGGGAGAGAGGACTCTCCCTACTCTTGGCCGTACCAAGGCATTTGGGAGCACTATTGGGAGTAAGAGGCCTAAGTAAATAAGTAAGTCCTTGTTTGTATCATTCATTATCTTAAACTAAACAAACATCTAATATCGACTTCATTAATATAGAACAGTACACTGAAAGAATTCTTTAATAAATACCATGTATTTTTTTATTTTTTTGTAAAAAAAAAATACTATTTACAATACACAGATGATAAAAATCTCTCCTTACTTTTTATCTTTAATCTAATAAACCATTTTCTAACATTAATTTTCTAACTTTCTCTTCTATTTCAGCATAGGATAATTGTTTACATTGTTTATTATTATTATTATTTTTTGATGATTTATATTTTTTCTTTATTTTTTTCATTTTCATTTGAATTGGTTTATTTGTTGTTGTTGTTGCTGGTGGTGGTGGTGGTGGTGATAGTGTTGTTGTTGTTGCTATGGGCAATAAATCTTGTTTGATTACATTATCAGCTTGTAATGATTTTGAATGATTTATAAAATTGAATTTTTTCAAAGATTTATTCAATACATTCTTGAATAGATTACTATTAGACATGTGTAAATATTGATCAAATAAATTAAATGCATCATTTAAATATTGATTAGTATGATGATTATAATTTAATAATTCTTTGATAATTACATTACGTACATAATGATAACGTCCATTATTATTATTATTATTACCATTACCATTGGATGGAATGAAACTAATACAATGACATATATTATGAAAAAGATAACCACTTGGAAACATAAAATAAATCGATAAAAAATTTAAACAAGTTTTTAATTGATTTTTTTGATTAATTGTTACTATGGTATCTAATAAATGAATTAATGTATATAATGTTATATAAATCATTTGTAATTGACCATATCTATGTACATAATGAATATGTAATTTGTTTAATTGTTTTTTATTAATAATTTTTTTATTATTTATCAAAGATTTTATATGTTTTAGAAAATAATTTGCACATTTATAATAATGTTTATTTAATAATTTATAGGATGATAAATGATGATTAGAATGTATGGTTAATAAATATGTACATATACATAGAGCACCAAATGTCAATGAGATAGGACATTGAGTGATATCATCAATGTTACTAGTAGTATTAGTAGTAGTTGTAGTATCAGTAGTAGTTGTATTAGTAGTAGTATAAAGTGGTATAGATTGACTTTTATAATTCAATACATTAATTAATACAATAGACATTAACCAATCATTATGTGATTCCATAAAATCATAATCCAGATTTAAATATTGTTGAAGAAATATTAAACGCGGATCTCTTTTTATATTTAGTTCATTATTATTGCTATTATTATTATCATTATTATTAGTAAGAGTAGTAGGAGGAGGAGGAGGAGGAGGAGTAGGAGGAGGAGTATTACATAATGATAATAAGTGTATTGGTTCAACGAATATTTTACGTTTTTTGATATGAAATGCATTTTTACGATCATATTCTATAATATAATACAAAGGATTATTATTATTATTATTTAATTGATTTAAACCAATTAATTGATTTGGATAACGTAATGTATAATTGGATTCAATGCCTAATAATAAATTATAAATTAATGTACGAAGATATATTGTATTAGAATAAATGGATGAATAATGATATAATGATTCAATACAACATAGACATATTGTACCATAGGATAAGATACTATCTAAAAATATTGGTAAAATTAAATATTTTCTAAATGAATTTAATAATTCAGCAGGCCAATATGTTGTTATTTTATATGAATTATGATTATTATTATTATTATTATTATTATTATTATTATTATTATGAATAGATTCATTAGTATGATATTCATTCAGTTCATTAACACCACCACCACCACCATCGTCTTTTTCTTCAGCATCAGCATTATCATCATTATTGTTACTATGGTCATTATGATGATCATCAGTTTGTTCTTCTTTAATAGTTAATATTTGATTTTCATCAATTTCTTTATCATATTCAGAAGAACATGATGAATTCAATGGTGATAATTGTTGTTGAATTGTGACAGATTTCATCATTGTATTACGACTATCATCTTCAGCATCATCATCATCATCTTCTTCTTCTTCTTTAGTAGTTAATATTTGATTTTCATCAATTTCTTTATCATATTCAGAAGAACATGATACATTCAATGGTGATGATTGTTGTTGAATTGTGACAGATTTCATCATTGTATTACGACTATCATCTTCAGAATGATCATCATTTTCTTCTTCTTCTCCTTTTTCTCCTCCTCCTCCTTCTTCTTTAATAGTTAATATTTGATTTTCATGAATTTCTTTATCATATTCAGAAGAACATAATGAATTTAATGGTGATAATTGTTGTTGAATTCTGACAGATTTCATTATTGTATTACGACTATCATCTTCAGCATCATCATCATCATCTTCTTCTTCTTCTTTAGTAGTTAATATTTGATTTTCATCAATTTCTTTATCATATTCAGAAGAACATGATACATTCAATGGTGATGATTGTTGTTGAATTGTGACAGATTTCATCATTGTATTACGACTATCATCTTCAGAATGATCATCATTTTCTTCTTCTTCTCCTTTTTCTCCTCCTCCTCCTTCTTCTTTAATAGTTAATATTTGATTCTCATCAATTTCACTATCATATTCAGAAGAACATGATGGATTCAATGGTGACAATTGTTGTTGCATTGTAACAGATTTCATCATTGTGTTACTACAACGACTACTACTACTACTACTACTACTACTATTACTACTATTGTTGCCAATACTACAATCAATCTCAGATTTTATATTCTTTTTATTCATAAATGTAGGAATCTTTTGAAATAATTTCAAATCCTTATTAAAATGTAAATAGAATAAATTTGAATGAATATGATAAGTATGAATACTATACATTAATTGATGATATAATTGATTCCGTTCTAATTTAGGATATTTATTTAATAAACATTGAATTGGTTTATCAAGATTATCAGTAGTATTATTATCATTAAATTGTAATAACCAATTAATTAATTGTAATATAATTAATTTACGACGTTTTAATTTCATTTGTTTATTCGCATTATGATGATGATGTAATAAGATTGTTTTACCATTAAATGATATAGGTAATTTATTAATAAATTGATTGGATGAAATATAATCATTCCCTAATAAACTAGCTAATAATGAACGTTGATAAATTGATAAATTTTTTAAACCTGGTCCATTAATTAAAAATTTTTGACATTTTATATACATACATAATTGATTATATTTTTGACAAGAATAACATCGGATTATATTGATTATTGGTTTAAAGGATATTAATGATAAAGGTAGAAATGAGACACCATCATTATCATTATTCATTGGATCATTATGATTATGATTAGGGATAGTGATATAAAAATCGGAATCATTACTTATAATTGGACATTTCAAATATATGCCTAAATTCATAACATTTTGATCAGCTTCACTATCACATGTAATATAATGAATATTTAATTGATTTAATATTTGAATAAATGTTATAATGGTTAATGGTGGAAGTAATTGAACATTATATAATGAATGAGTTGATGATAATTGATTATGTTTAATAGAATTTAATAATTGACGACATGTTTGCATACGTTGATAATTTCTTTTCATTTGTGTATTCAATTTGAAATGCTACATATATATTATGGAATCAAAAAAAGGAGAAGTTTTTTAACATTATTGAAATATGGAAGAACTGGACGGCCGTTTCGTCCTAGTATGGGACTCCTCAGCAGTGCGCATCCACGAACCCGCCCCCTGCGGGATTCGAACCCAGAACCTACTGGCTTCGCGCGCGAGCACTTAACCATTAGACCACTGTGAAACTTACTAAAATCTCCACAAAACTCATTCTGATTATTAAAATAAGCAATGATGGATAATGGCTAGCAGTGACTAGCGTTTCGTCCTATTCGGGACTCGTCAGCTGGATGTACTTGCATCTCAGAGTTGATAGTCACTCTGGGACTCAAACCCAGTAACATTCACTTCAAATGCCATCGCGTTATCCACTCAGCTACTGAGTCCTGATAGCCACTTGCTTGTGCGATGGGGTGAAGTTGAAATTCACTTAATATTGTTATAACAGACTGATCAATTGCAGTCTTAAACCTCAATTGACAAGACACAAGCCAAACAATACCAAGTGAATTATTAAAATAATTTTATAAATATTCAAAATAATAATAATAAAAGAAACTACTGATTAAAAATTTGATTATAAGAGCCAATTATACTACTAATCATCAATAATTATGTAATATGAAGATGATTGTAAATAATAATAAAATTAGGTTAAATTTGATTGTGAAACTTAAAAAAATTTTATCATTTAGTCCGACTTCATTAATATTAGTTGATAATAGTGGATACGAAGAATCCACTTAGGGGAACTGGAAAACCCTCCTGATTTCAAACGAATGACAGAGACATCCTATTTAGCTCCCAAATATTCTGGTACAGATGAGAATGGGAAGAGTCAACTCTAACTGTCGAAATGCTCTTACATGGCCACATGCATACAACCTTTGTCAGGAAAGTCCTAATCACTGCCTTCTCGTGGCGGGGGTGTTGTTTACGAAATTGAGAGGACGAAAACCGGATATCTGGCGCTTTAACCGGGTTGGTGGACTCAGAGAGTTCACCTAGGGGAGTTGGAAAACCTTGATTCTAAACCAACAGTGTACATGGGCTCCAGGATCATGAAGGACTAAATGGGGTATGAACCTATTGTTGGTTACCGGCTACCATGGGATTGCATCACGCTACGTTGCTCCACTGCCTTGTGGATTAGACCGTTAGGTCAAAGACTCGCAAGAAAACCACCTGCTTCAGTTTCGGCACCCGGGCAGTATATCAGCCCCCACAAAAATCAAATGATTTATGTGGCGCATATCTGTTTGGTGACTCCTTGTACCAATGTTTATGTATTTAAATAAATAAATAAAAATAAACAATTAGATAGTTAGACATATTGTATAACTGTAATACTAAGAAATCAGTCAATACAATACAGTAATACAGTAGGTGAGAATTAAACTCAGTAGAGTAAGGTATTAATCTTGTTGTCTGATGAATGATCTATAGAATTTGTATCTAACAAATAATTACCTTCTACATAATTTTAAAAATGTTTATTTTACTGTTAAATATTTCGTAAACTAATATGTACAGCCCACAGAAATTCGCTAGAAAGTATTGAAAGCTGGATATCGGTATTGACTAGTTAAGGGCATTGGGTCAACAACTCGATCTTCTCGACAATGATAATGTGACCTACTCACTAAGTAGAGGTTTATGTATCTGGGTTTGAGCCAAACTATCTTTTAATCGACGACTCATGATACAGAACAGCTATTTAAACCGAAGTAGGTGGAAAGACGTCTCAACCTGTGACCTAATGATTAAAAGTTAAATTCTTTGACTGCCAAGCTGTCAATTTTTAGACAATCATCACTCACTTAAGCATAAAATCAATTTGAGAAATCTGGCAAACACTTCAACAGAGATACAATAATACCTTACGTACAACAAAAGGCGATAACATTTAGTACTTTAAACAAAGTTATTTCAAATCGACGATTTCAAACCAAACTATCAAATCGGAAAAAATCAGTTCATAAAAAGTTAGATAAGATTTGATAGTAAATTATGAAATAGCCTATTAAGTGAATCAAAACCTGAACCACAATTACAAACCTCTGATACAGTTAATATCACGACTGTTACATGCTCTGATAAAATAAGGAACGGGCACTTGTTGAAGGAAATAATTAGTCACTTTTTTAGCGAAATGTCCTGCTTCGGTTTCGACATTCAGGCAGTATCACAGCTCACACACAAACCAAATGACGATTACTACCGGAAGAAATATTCTTTTTTCAATTAGCATTCAGACAAATCACATTCACAATCATTTGATAACATTCATTTTTATTCCATTTATACTACGTTACTTATCTACTCTCTTTTAGGGTCAACTTCGATTCGTTGGACAGGAATGTTCTCTGCAACTGTCTATTGAGGAAGGGTGTGCCTGAGTTTATTGATATCTTGAAAGCCCTATATACTAACACCTCAGGCAAAGTGAGGGCATACAACCACCTCTCTCCATTGTTCCATTCAAGCAGTGGGTTTAGGACAGGGTTGTCAAATCTCACCCCTCCTCCAAAACTTTGCTATCGATAACCTTTTGGAAACAGTTCAGATGAACATAGATGACGGTGGTGTGAACCTATTGCCTGGAGAAAGGCTTCTCAACCTTAAGTATACAGATCATATTGTCGTACTGGGAGGTGCTAACCAAGCCATACAATCCGCACTTAATCAATTGGAAAATTAGTGTCCGTAGGTATGGTGTGTTTTGCACCTTCGAAGTGCAAAGCACTTTAGCAAGACTAGCAGGACCCTGAACATGCACACACCCTGGATAGTGAGAAGATAGAAGTACCTGAGTTCACGTATCTGAGTAGCTGCATAAGTGCTGGTGAGGGTGTGAGTGATGAGATCAATTCATGTATAGTGAAAGCCGGAGTGGCTTATGCCAGTCTGGGACATCTTTGGCGCTTTCGTGATGTTAGTCTGGTTATAGAAGATCGGATCTGCCACGAATCGGTAAGAGTAGTTTTGTTCTGTGCTTGTGAAACCTGGCCCCTCCAAGTTGAGGATGTTAGACAACTCACTGTGTTTGATCATCGTTGTCTCCGGAGGATTGCTGACATTCAGTGGCAACACCATGTTAGCAATGCAGAGGTTCGGCATCGTCTGTTTGGGCACAACGAAGATAATTCAATTTGTATCACAATCTTGAAACAAGGGCATTGGTGGTTCGGATATGCCCTACGAATGTCGTCCCAAAGAATTCCACATCGTACATTATTTGCCGACACTAGAACCGGTTGGAGAAAGCGGAGAGGTGGTCAGTTTATGACATTGTATCGTGGTATGAGAGAGAGATGTGCAGGAATGGCTCCTGTTGGCCCTTCCATACTCCCTGGTTGGGGTCCTAGAGATGGTGCAACACATGTTATCAGACATGGCTCAGAACAGAAGCCAGTGGCGATTCTGCTGTAACTTTCTTCATAAAAAATGAACGTAACTTCCTTAACTAGATGAATCCTTTCTGGTTGTATTTTTGATAACTCAACTGCCTCTCCCATTACTATTATTTCATCCTCATACACTTATTTCTGTTTGTTGTTATTCGCCTTTTCATTGTACGCACTGTACATTCTCTATCTCTTCACAACCTCATTGTTATTGCGTGGTGCATATGTATTCGGTGCCCCTTTGTACTAATATTTGTGTTCAAATAAATAAAACAAACAAATAAAAAACACATATAGAAGGCGCGTTTGTCATTTTTAATGTTCTCAGTGGCTTATCAAAGTAATATTTATAAGTAATCCTCAAATCTATTTCACAACCTATGACTATAATGTCAGAGCAAAAAAAGATGGGACATTCCAGAAATTGTCTCTAACTCCAAGAAAGTATGGCCAACTGAATTTACAAAAAACCCTTCTTCCAAAGTCAACAAAAACAAAGTAATGTCCTATATTGTGATACTTCAAAGAAATCAACGTATTCAAAAGAACTATTTAAAGAATGAGTAGTTGGGATAATTCTGTCACTTTAAGTACATATAGCTAATAGTTTTACAAGTTTTACAACGTCAGTGTATCTACTGTCTACTGTCTAAGGACCCAAAAAAATTACACAAACACAATATTAAATGGAAAGGTCATCGTAAAACTACTTGATCGTTAATTCTAATATATTCATTTGCATAAGTGCTTGGACATTCTCATTTAGTACCATCAACCATGGCTATACCAAAAAGAATTTTAAACTCTACCAAAGTCTTTAAAAATTCTGCAAATATTGTCAAATATGATTAAGACTCAAGATCTATGGAAAGATAAAGGAAATCGATACTGACTTACAACAATTAATCCCTCCAAAAAGTAACGACGATTATCCTACAGACCTAAACCAGGTAGACTACACTGATTAACATGGCTCAGATCAATAGTCAATATCTTCATCAACATAAAACACGTCTTGATTTATATGTCCGTAGCTTTCTTCCAACCTACACTTACGTTTTCCAGCATCACATGTTGAGATAGGCAGTGGCCACGGTCACAATTATCCCAAACTATAACAATACTTATGATTAAAGTTCAGTGAAACCTTACAGACGTTTTGAAAACCATAAAAATAGAGCTTAAAGTATAAAATTGTATTTAATTATTGATTTGCATAGAAAAAAACCCATTCATACTGATAAAAAAACTTGAACTCACATCATGACACCCATCTAGAACAAAAATAGGGTTTATATTACACCGTTTTAATATATTGATAAAACGATGAATTACTCCACTGAATGCTAAATATTCTCCATTAAATTGTGTATATAATCCAGAATCAAAATAGAGAAAATTTAAAAAATTCAATCCATCAATAATCACAGTTGTATTATGTAATTGATATTCAATAAAATTTCGTGGATCACTTTGTAAGTAGGTTGTTAATCCTCGTACACCCATAATGATGATAATACTACTAATAATAATAACAATAGGAATTGTTAAATAAAATAGTTAAATCTCCAGTAATATGATTTTGGCTTCAATCTAATACACTGTTAATTACTTTATTCATTGTCTGTAATATCAAAAAAGAGAGGATAGTAACAAATAGCATTTTAAATGTTCCAGAAATATAAGAAGATAAGATATTTGCAAATATTTATAATCAGTGTTTGTATTTGACAAAAATAACAAATCTAAATAATTACAAACTTCGTTTTAATGGTAAAACAGGCCAAATTGGTGAATCACGACAAGGTGATACAAATTCATAATAATGTAATAGAGAAGCTTCAAGCATTTCAATTTGAGAATCAATTGTTTGAATATCTGTAGATTGATTCAATTTACGAGGTGGCGCTTTTAACATTGATTGAATATCATATACATTTGATTCAATATTATCACGATTTTGACGATGTTGTATAGTTTTCATCATAAAATTAATATAATCAGGGTCAAGTGAAATATCCTCTTCTTCTTCTTGTTCTTCATCTTCTTTATTAAATGCATCTTTATGATATCCTGAAGTTGTAATATAATCAAGAGCATATGATGGTAGACTATTAGCTAAAGTATCCATTCGTTTAAGTGTATTATTATAAGCTTTTCTAAAGTATTCCTGCCTATGATATAAGCGTAGAACTTCATCTTCTGCATTTTTCAATAGATTAGGAACAATAGTATCTTGATGAGACGATTTACTAGATAAAGGTCCTCTCGGAAGTTTTTCAAGATATTTTAATTCATCTTCAGTAATTAGAGGTGAAAGAAGTTGAGAGATGTTTTGAACTAAGTCGACGTTGAAATTCATGTCTTTTTTACATTCATGTTTTCTAAAAGATAATATCATTATTCAGTGAAAAATGATACATATAAAAATATTGGAAGAAGAAAAAACATGTGACAACAAAAGACTTATATTTATTCAACAAAACGACTCTGGGTTTGTAATATATTGTCTTTTAAATCGGAAACATTTGGAGTTACTTCGTAATTTGTAATAACAGCTTCTCGTCTCGGTGCTGGTGTATAATCTCCCCGCAAGCCAATGTAGTGAATCCGTGTTGTATCACCCCCGTAATTAGCACTGAAATGTAAACTCAGTGTTTGCACATTAGAAAATCGTGAAATTTTCAATGGATATATCACTTCACCATTTGGATCAACAGTTAATTCGAGTGATTGTTCACATTCAGCCTATTTTCTTGGCATCAAATTACATTTAGTTTAAAATAAACTTACACTTAAATCTTCAAATGTCATGAAAGGTTTATTTTTGTACAACGACACTTGACTTGGATGTTGTTCGGTATCAGCACCAGAAATAATAATACTCATTAGTTTTATATTTCCAGTAAACGGTATATTAAATAACAATTCCTGATCAACATCACTTTCAACATAAACAGTTGAATCTTTACGATCCTAAACACAGTAATTATGAAACAGTAAGCATACCTCATAAGGCTTGAAAACAAGTTTACCACTTCCAGAAACAGATTCATTCAAACATTCTACATTATTCGTATCAATAAACCAGTACAAGCTAAACGATGGGGAATTATCGGCTTTATGCGAATGACAACAATGACCACCAATGCTGTGATCACACATGTAGTAACTGTAAATAAAATGAACCATTAGGAAGACATAGATCCTTTTTTTTCATAGATCTGGTATCAGATTTGTAAATTTAAGAAAAGTGAACCACAAGGTATGGCCAATCAATCAAATACGACGTAAGAACCTGGTACAAGTGTACATTAGTTTGTGACACCCTTTTTGCACAGAGACATGAAATCGTCAGAGTAAATCCCAAAGTAGTCGAGGAAGTAACGGGACTAATAGTGATGATGGAAAGGATAAGGCATGCAAGATACAATTCGAGAACATATCAATGAGTGGAATAATTTAAAAAATAAGGAATTTAGGAACTTCGAACTTCTGGGCAGACAAAGAGTGAATGCACCTAGGCCATCGCTGACGATGTTGAACTTCCATGCCAAGTCTCCAACCATTAATTACGATGATCACGCGGAGCCCGACCAAGAGTGAAGTAACCGAAGGCGTCCATGACCTCACTTATCTTGGAAGTCTGACCACCCATAGTAGATTGATGTCTGATGAAATCTCTGCACAGATTCAAAAACTCGTTCGTAAAAATAAAGGCATAAAGCAATTTTAATCTCATGGTTTAGGGGAAGACAAAGAGTGTATACACCTACGCAATTGTGATCGACCCTGAGCCATGTCACCCAGAGTCTCCAACCGTTGGTTGTAATAGTCACGCGGACCCCAACCAAGTAGTCTACATCTACCAACATGACTCAGACTAGAAGTTAGTGACTTAAAGGACTGGTGCCACATTTTGGTTTGGCCGCCCCAACTTTCTTCCAACCACCCTCAACAACTTCTGGTGTGAACCATGTTGGTAGATGCAGTCTACTTGGTTGGGGTCCGTGCGACTATCGTAACCAACGGTTGGAAACTCTGGGTGACATGGCTCAGAATCGATCACAATGGTGTAGGTATATACACCTGATGTCATTTGTTGGCTGGGACGCCTCTACTTTTCTTCTAACCCACTGGTACAGCAGCAATCATTACGCATCGAGGTAATCGGTGGATAGGCATAGGTAACATATGTCCCAACTATCTCAGTCAATACAGATCTACTACCTCGTCAATCGGTTTTTAATACATACCCAATACTCTACGTCTAACCACAACATTGGGAACTCGATTATTCCAAAATACAGGAGTAATGCTTTGAAGGCACCTATGATCGAATAATAGTAACCTACAAACATTCTCTATTTTTAAAAGCCATATTCCATACTCATAAAGAAGAATGCAGAGGACTGGTGAGCAGTAAACTTGCTCTTTAGTTAGCAAACGGATGTTCCTCCTACGCTGCGTTGGCAATAATCAGCCGGGCTTTCTGAATTCGTGTCAAAATTTCACCAGACACCGACCCACCAGGGATGAGACTCCCAACATAAATGTAGCATTCAATATACAATCTGATGACAGTAGTATACGTTTAAATATTATTTATGGGCCGAATATTTTACGGCAATCATACCAAAATAAGTGGAGTGTTTTTGGCAGTGATCATTTGACCGGAAACCGAAAACCTGGGCGACTGAATGAAATCACGCTTTGGGTTCCACTTGAAGTAGCTCATATCTACGACCTTAAATTATGTGAGTCGGATACCAATTTGTATTTACGAGGAAGTTATGACTGATTAGAAAGAAACCTTCAAAGCCGAAGTAATATGTTATTGGGAAAGCTTTCACAGAATATCGAAACAGGAATGAGTAATGGAAAATATGAAACATAATGGACTTTCAGTCAACTTGCAAGTTCCACATTAGTAATCCCTACAATCACTAGGACTATTCCAGCTTTCCTTGAGAAAATGGAAAAGAAACAATGGGTGTGGTGAAACACGAAAATATGATGGTCAAGATAGCCCTCTAGCCTACAACTGAATGACCAAAATTTCTGAATACCTGAATGTTATGACCCTACCTATATTATAAGACTGTAGTATGCACAACCTGACGAATGTCAGTTGGTGGTAAATTATGTGAAATCTTGTAATCTAATAATAAATATAAACCTCCACTGTTGACCACATCAGTATTGTAAAGTCGAGCCATAAAACAAGTAGAATGACAGAAAGGTCAAATGTCTCTTCACTGTGGCTTTTTGTTTTCACTTTCGACTAGGACTTCTAACTTATTACCTCTTCCGTGAATGTGTTTTTACACATCTCTCGGTTAAAAATCCATTAAAAATAAGTAACGTGTCCATCGTAAGAATCAGGAAATTTGAAACGAGACGTTGTGACAATTGTCACAACATTGGGGAGATTCTGGGGATTTCCCCAGGTCTGGGGAAATTTTGAGGTTTTCGTGCCATTTTCCCAAAATTTACTATAGCGGCTTCCCCAAAATTGGCAGCTTCGGAAGACTGATAAATTAAGGAAGTTTCGTTTAAACGCTGGAGATAACTTTGAGAAATCACAACGGAAAGCCCAGAACGAAACTAGGTTTTAATTTTTTCAAAATTTACCCAGAGTTTCCCAGAATTGTTAGTGTGAGATATCGCACACTTGACACGTGACATTGTCACGCAAAAGTACTTAATTTATGGAAAAAGGATAGCTTTTCACTTGTATTCCACAATATTTTAAGCGAGACATAGTCCTACAAGATTTCAGCACTAAATTAACTATGGAATTATGCTGAAATGATAAACACAGAGAACCAGAAGAATTCGAGTAAAGAAGTATGACTACTAGTAGTAGTAACGCTACACTTAATATAACCGCGGCTACAAATTTGCAGTTTTAATGTCTGACGTACCATCTTAGTGTTAATTCAACGCTCTATCAAGAAACATTTCATTTTACCACCCTGCTTCAAAAAGATCTCTTCACAGTAATTCTGAGAAAAAGGGACGTAAAAATCTTTTGAGAATTGGAAATGAGTCACATTCGTCGTGCTAAAAGGCATCTAACTTTTAGCATCTATTTAACCGTATTATCATTGTGTAAAGTGGTTTTCGTAACCCTTTACACTCTAGCAAGTCATTATTGTATTTTAGCGTTGAAATGCATCCTTGAGCGTATCATCATGTGAGGGATAACGAAAGAGCCTGCCTATAAATGCTCGCAGACGTCTTAGTGAGTTTAGCGGTAAATAAATCCTCAAAATAAGTAACTCTGTAAGTCTTCGACACTGTATGCTGACCACATTCGTTTTAATGGACTCACCCAGCTGAAGGGGCTCGGTCGTGCACCCACACCGAATCATGATTGGTAACGCCATGCTCAACATCCCCTGCAATCGCTAGCCAGATTAGATCAATCGATCCTCGATATATTGATAGCCTATCAAATATATCTTCGAACTTTCTCGCTTCTGTCTTTGGATTTCACTTGGTGGGTATGATTCATATTAGAAGGTGTTACTGATTAAAGCGTTGTCAAACTCTGAGTGCCTGTAGCATCTCCATGAGAATAGCTTACAAAATGTTACACTTGCCCCTGAATTAGGCAAAACTCTATTGATCCATATTCCAGATGGAGCGTCAGGAGTAATAATCCCTCAGTACCCAAAAGTTATTTCTTACAATCTGAACGGCAATGTCGCAAAACGATTGTTTACTATTTCCTCTTGACAAAGTTGGAAGGTCAAGGATGGTTCGGGACCCTGCATCTCTTTGGTGTTAATTGGCTCATTACAAAGCCAAAATTGATATCGTCTCCTAAATACAATACCTCCAAACCGATGGCTGGCTTATTCGTCATACTTCTTTTCTAAAGTCATCACCTCAGAAATTGTGAAAAAGCGATCATTAGCTCTCTTGAAAGATAGAAATTGATAATATTTAAATTCAGAACAGTCATTCAACTAGCGTAGTGGTAGAAGGCCGAGAAATATAATTCTAATTAATTTACTGAGTCATGTTGAATCTCAAAATCTGCTAGCTTCAGAACAACATGAACCTTACAAGAGTCGTTCATACGTGATTTGCTTATTAATTATGATAACGCATTGGACACCAACTTAGAGTAACAGTCTTTTCTGTCGACACAATATTCGTAGGTTATAACGTGGTATAATGGGCCTCCTAGTATTTCAAATCTAAGTTCATGAGTCATTAATACTGGTTAGGTAGTCAGCTCTGTTATGCAGACCAGTAAGTAGTAATATTATTGAGCTTTGGCTTCTGGCTGTTTTTTGACGGAGAGATATAATTATTCTTATGCTCTGTTTGATTTCCTCAAGTCGTTAGGGTACGTAATATTGATTTCATTGTTATAAACCATACATATGTATTAGTGTGCAGTCGTGATGAGAAACGATGTAATTCCTTCCGGTAAAAACACTGGACGACAATCGAGGGACAGTTACATCTTGAGTTATTTCCCTCGATATCTGTGAACTTAAGTTAACGGGAGCCTTCATTTGACGTGATGATCAAGAAATCACATCATCATTACTTCCTGTTGTAAATTTCACTTGCGAATTCTCACCACAGAGAAATTCGTATAAATTTCCATACTACTCATATCGTGTTCTAACATTAATATTAGTTTAACAGTTTGGTAGTGAATTTATTGGAGAGAAGAGAATTAAGAGGGACATGAAATATGATGGCCACGTCCCATCTAACACTTACATACTGTACAGGTTAAAATTTGGAGCTGATACGAGAGCTATGTAGGGTTTGTCCTTCAGCCCAAACAACTTTTCATACCTTGATTGAACACAATCTAAGAGAGCGGCAATCTTATAAAGGTAATCAGAGCTTTTAGGCAAACACTAAAATGATTTCAAGCAGTTCGTCAGTCAACCCTTTCCAAGTTATAAAGAGACGCTTAACTTGTGCATCCTTGATAAACTCCAGAAAACCGATGGGACGAGATACTTGGGGTACCATAAAGAGTTATCGAAATTTTTGGTGGGTAGATATTAATAAGTATGCTGAAATTAACTTCTCCAATAAACATCCCTACGTGGAGAGCATCAAAACTGGTTAGTTGCCGAAAGTTTCTATCAAGTGGTCCCCTTTGTGTAAGGATGTAGCTACATCATTCCTAGTGTGATGGTAGTGTGCCTTTA